AACAACACGGACGGAACGAATATAGGTAGTAGTACACTACATAGTACTATAGTAGTAGTATATATATATATATATATATATATATATATATATATATATAACACATATACACACATACATACATACATACATCAATATACATACATCAATATACATACACGCACACACACACACACACACACACACATATATATAATTATATATATAAATACACACACACACACACATATATATATATGTACATACATATATACATATATACATACATACATACATACACACACACACACACATATAGTACAAATATCTATCAGCATGATATACAGCAATATCCAACACACCCTCGGAAACTTCCGATGCCTCGTCTCCCCGCGCTCCACCGTTGGCGCTGCTATGGCTGTCTTCATTGTCGGTATTGTTATCACTCGTATTGTTATTGGTGTTGTTATTTGTGTTGTTGCTAGTGTTATTGTTGTCGTTCCCATCGCTGTCTGTCTCGTCGTGGTCCTGTACCACCACTACTACCTTCTGTGGCATTTTCTTCTTCCTCCTCTTCTTGCTGTGTTTCGCAGACATGGGTGAATCACCCCTAGATCGGTCCCCTTTGCGACTGCGCTTCTAAGACAGTAAACAGTGACGATTCCCCAGAAGTCAGTTCAGGCTATAAAGGTGGACGGACTACGAAGTTGTGCTGTATGTACCCGAAGTACGCGTGTTATGGCGGAGATAAACACATACAGAAAAGCATAGAGGAACACCTATATATTGATTTTAGCCGTCGTTGCCAATAGACAATTGGTACACGAGTACAGGCACTATGAAAGGCTAAGCAAATCGGTATGGAACAACCTGGGCACAGGTAGGATCCACAAAATATGGATATACAACTACACACAACGCTGTCGAGCACCCAAAAAATCCGGCAGCGTTCCGTGCAAAAATGGTTACAAATCTATGTTCACATACTATAGACCTCAGCGTACATGACAAGAAATACACAACATGGCCCGCCCACCTTGGACTTCTTAGTTGGCCTATCGCTGTCGTTCTCATCTGAGTCCAGTTCAATGATTCCTTCGCTGCGGCTTTGGTCGCGGCGTGCTTTCGCCCTCCGCTTGAATTCCTATATTGCAGTTACAGATGCAAAGGTAGTGGCACAGCGCACATAGCTTGAGACCGGTGTTGGTAACAAATATACGCCTACAACCCAACAAAGATAGTACGAGTACAGAGCAGACCCGACCATCTATCCATATCAGCGTGAAATAACATAGGATACATTTGAGAGAGCGAATGTACCGGTAGTGTGCCGTCATCCACTGCTTTGGTCCATTGCAGCTCTGTCAGATTATCGTCGTACTCCACTTCTTTGTGTGCACGACGACCACGGCCGTATGCTGTGGTAGGGGGCGAGATACGAATTGTACACGTAAATATACACATACATGAAAGTATATATATATATGTCTGTGATTATAAATTCACAACTACACTGTTTCCATATTGTCTAGACTTACTCAAGAGCAGAAGATCAATATATATATATATATAGATATGTATATATAAATAAACACACACATACATACATATATATATATATACATACACACACACAAACACACACACACACACACACACACACACATATATATATTGTGTTTGTTCGTCGTAATAGCTATATGCTTGCTATCATAACAACAATGCACGTATAAGCACCTCATAAAAATACATGTTAAACGTCCACTTGTATATATCAACAAGCATGTGGATTGTGTCCATCCCCAAGAGTTGCTGTAGAAATGTGTAGCGAAGCATAGTTCTATGTAGCACGCAAGTTGCGCTAATTGAATAAAGAGCCACAAATCGCACAAATAGTTGCAGTGTTCTGTCAGCCGTTGGCGGCCTATAGTACCTGATTTATCCTCCACAATGTATTTCTTTGTGACTTCCTCGACTGATTCCAAGTACAGCTCAGGTACCTCCTCAGCACTGATCAGGCTAAAGGTAGCGCAGCAATAGTGGTAGGAGAGAGTTGGTGAACACAGCGTATCACATTATAATGGATTGTGTACGTGTGCGACAAGGGGAGATGAGATAACCGAAAGGGATGAAAGAGCTGAAAAGGCTGAAGGTACGAAGGTCAACAACCAGAAGCAGTACTAAGTATAAGAAAATCGACTGGGCTAGAGGGAAGGGAGCTATAAAAAAGAATTGCACTACATGAAGGTACATTAAGGTACAATATCTAATATTCACATACAATATGTATACTTGCATACTATACTCACATACAATATTTATACTTGCATGCAAGCAAAATCTATACTTATATACAATATGTACACCTACGTGCAATATGCAAACTTAAGATACGACATTTATACATACATACACTTAGATACAAAGTGTATTCATATACATTATGTATACTTACATACAATAACTATAAATACATACAATACCTTCTGCTTACATATAACATCTATTATATCCATTCAATAACTATGTAGTTACATATACATATTTGATGGATAGTTTCACGGTCAGTTACATATACATATTGTATGCATAGTTTCACGGTCACGCACCGATTATCGGCTCCCCCGGCCTCGGCGTTGATCTCTAAGTCGATCTCAGCAAACAGTTCCACCTCCTCGTCCGACCGTGCAAGCATGCGGTTGATCTGTGCGGGGACACATAAGATAGGGTTTTAGGGTTGCATGGCTTTATAGTGTGAGGGTACGAGCTTAGAGGTACATACTGGAATAAGGGTCAATCCGAGGGGCACGTGCACATACAGGGCAAACACAAGTGTACGGGAAAGTCAGTTTCCCAGTGTTTCGAAGCCAAGTGTGTACTTCTTATAGCTACCCATCACGGCACCTTCTAAGAATTGGAATTGAAATTAACCCGCTGTATTTACGGTAGGATACTACACACGGGATTCTCGCACGTCAGAAAGACTTGCGATTGGATGATATTAAGCACCACGTGACCTGCAAGAACTAGACAGGCATTGAATACGAATGGACTGAACGTCACGACAGGCCAAGAGCAGAAGCAAATAGTTGGAACCTGTACAGCATACTCATGGGTGGGTATAGTTTGACAGTGATAACTGCAAACCAGCAGCACACTCTCCTACAGTATTTAAGGGTGTGCGCAAAATGCGCAAATACGCACACGTGCCTATCCGGGTCCACGCAGGCGTTATTCGATGACTTACACGAAGAAACATGCATGTAAGATTTAGACCCACCTCCTGCATGCGGCTTGACTCGGCGACGACTTATACTTATACATATGTCACAGCACAAAGTATGAGGCTTTCAGGTCTACAAACGGGTTCTTTATTGTCTGTTCGGTTCGCGCATTTTGCTTGACTTGACGAGGTCGTACGTATATATGCACACATATCTATTATAATGTACGCACACATATATATCTTGGCATATAATACTGACGTATAAGTATAAAAAATAATAATTTGTGCGATGGCAACTCCTGCATGCTGTTTGGTGCGTCTAGATCATGCACACTCACATATACATACATACTAACATACATATATATAAATATACATACATATATATATATATATATATATATATATATATATATATATATATATATATATATATATATATATATATATATATAATAACTAATAACTAATAATATATATAC